TATCACTTGCATTTTCTCTTCTCTTTCCACAGTAACCACAATAACGGAGTGAGCCCAAGCTTAGAAACAAAGGTAGTACCTTCTTTCTGTTCTACAATTATTCGTTTTTAAGCCAGTGTTTATTGTTATATTATTTGATTTAATAAGAAATGTCCAGTCATATTTCACTCCAAACTTGAGGAAAATTATTGCATATGAGTAAATTTAAGAAAATAAAGCCGCCTTTATTGCTTTATATTACCTTTTTTGTTGCATTCTGACATTGTTTTTCTCCCAAGTTCTCAAAGTAATGCAAAATGTATGATGTTAGTGTTACAAAATATAATGTTACAAAAGTTTCAATACTGATCAGCATTATCACCAAATCAGCATATTAGAATGATTTCTGAAGGATCGTGTGATCTGAAAACGGGAGTAATGCTGAAACTTCAGCTGTGCCGTCACAGAAATAATTAATATTTTAAAATATATTAAAATAGACAACACTTATTTAAAATTTCACTAATATTACTTTTTTATTGTTTTTGATCAAATTAAATGCAGCCTTGGTAAGCATAAAAGACTTTAAAAAAACATTAAAATATCTTACCAACCCCAAACTTTTGAAACAATTGCACACAATTAAAATCACAATTTTAATAATATAAATACAGTAAATGTTAATTATGAATTTGACTTGTTAAAAAGAAACTTGACACATACATTTGATCACCCATTTGTTTATCACTATGAATGAGTCAGTGGCATTTATTTGTTAGTATATACTGCATATTTCTAAATAGTTTGATTTGAACTTCATCTTTTTGATCATGCATTTGCTCACTTGGCTTGGAAAGGCTGTTTTGCTTTTTTTGCTTTAGTTTTTGCAGTACCTAAATGCATCCCGCATGCTTCTTTCCTCAGCCCACCCAAACACGGCCTCCCTGGTCTGGTATGCCTGTGGTCAGCAGCCCACCCTCTGCACCAGGACCCATGGAAATCGAAACCCTCCCTAGGAGCCCCGGAGGCAGCCAATCGGACAAGAGGGGGTGAGCTACTCACAATTTTAATGCAATAAGACCTTTAAGCAGGTTAATCTGATTCCCTGCTGTTACTTCAGGCCCATGCACAGCCAGTTAACATCACTTTGGCAGAGTGCAACACTTGTATAAATGATATATTTGTGCTGTTTGGCGGTGCTGCTGGTGTGTTGGTGAGCTGGTGTGGTTGTGGTGCTGGCTGGTGACTGGTACTGAAGGTGCTTCATACTGTTTAGCTTTGACATTGAGCAGATGGCTGCTTCAGCACAGGAGAAAACACCTGCTGGGCTGACAACAACAAACTCTCTCTTGACGTGAATGGCCTGTCTTTCTCTCGTACTCTCTTTTTTCCCTGCCTTGCTTTGTCTCCCGAGGCTGTGTTTGGGGTTATTGTGCTGTGCAGAGCTTTGCCTTAAACTTGAAATATTGAAAAGAAATGAAATCAGTGTGATTATCGAGTTGGATATGTTGTCCTGTCTTATGAAAATTTGATCCTTGTTCCTTAATGTTATAGCTATTTTTTGTCTGAACTTTCTAGTCAGATGTTCTGAAACCCCAGTGGCCTTTTCATAAGGCAAGGTATGTACACTCCTGTTTTCAACCCTTCATAGACTCGCTTCAGCCAATCAGTACATCTCTGAGGGAGTCTATGTGATTGGCTTTGAATCAGTTATTTTTCCTCTGGCTGGGCAAATCAGTGTCTGCTTCAGTTCTTGATTCTAGTCCAAACCAATCCAATCAGTGGGGTAGGCCTGTGATCTCAGCTGGGTAAATAGAATAGTGGGGTGTAACAGCAAGCTGGAGCAGTCAGCATTCTGTCGTTGGCTTTGTGACTGTCCTGTCCTCTACTTCATCAAAACTGAAACTAATACAGGTTGTCTGAGTACTAGTACCTTTGCTTGGCAAGTTCAAGATGGAATCAACAGACAGATGGACATCACTTTCTGATGACAATTTCTAACTTATTACAACTTCTCCTCCCTAACCAAACACAACCCCTTCTGCCTAACCTAGTTTTGTTTACTCAAGTATATTTTATTCTTTGAAATCATTCAGCCCTCTTTTCTTGTCACCTTACATCTGTCTTACCATCTGCTTCCCCATGACCTTGCAATTTTTTATAATAATAGTAAAACATTTTATTTTTATTTATTACTTTTAATTAGTATTAATAATAATTAATTAGTATAATTAAAATATATCATTAAGAGTAACAATATTAATAGAAAAACATATTAATTTTGCTTTACGACAGATTAATAAGCAAGAATAGTAAGCTATAAAAATACTTTGTACAATGCCTGTATAACCATTTCAAACTATTTACTAGGGCTGCACGATATATCGAAATATCGCAAATGTAAATATCTATCTTCAGTTTTGCAGCACACGTGCAAAGCGTGCGCGCACACACACACACATGCGTTTCAGACGGCCCGCGAACACCGAGTTGATTCGTCTTTCGCATCTCCTCCTTATGTTTGAACAGACACATACACACAGAATTATGTCAATAGTACCCGTCTCGACGATCATTCTCGTAAACGCAGTCGGTTATGTTTTAAATTAATGTAAACAGCTGAGAAAGAAATCGGATGTGTATCATTATACTGAATCCGTGCAGTCGGATTTAAAGGGACATCAGCCTATAAATACGTGCTGCTGAATATGTCAC